AGCTTCTTTTGTTTTCCCAAGTCTCTGTAGCTTAAAACGACACATAATGAAATCCAAAGGAACAGCTTGGGTTTCATTCAGCTCCCACGAATACTGACAGATGGATTCTCAATCAGAACTGGCTTCTGCCCTTATTTAATGAATGACTACAGATACATTAGATTCTCTCCCTCCCTCTCTCTTTCACATACACAAAAGCAGAAGTGACCATCAGTAACACTTCTACTTTCCTCACATGATAGTGAATAGAATACAATAGACTTCATAATCTATAATGGTGAAATAATGTTCAGACAAATCACCCTTTGTATTTTATTAATATTTTTATTACATGTCAGTCAGTGAAGCTATACTCTATGCCTTCTCACCTGTAAAACATTTCCTCTTTTTCCTTTCTTTTTTGCCCCTTTGGATTAGAGAGGAAAGTGTCAGCATGAAAAACTCAAAGAGCATTTTCCTGGGGTAGCTGGCAACCCCAACCCAGAGCTGAATTTTCTGCATGAAGGGGAATGCCCTGGCCCAGGTGTGAGTGAGCAGTGGGGCCTTGGGGAAAGGCTGTGGCCAGTTCAAGCTGTGAGGAGGAAAACCTAATCCACAGAAATGCCAGCAGGTGCTACCTTCCCAATAAATGTTAGTAAATAGAAAGCAAGAGACTGCCTTACGTATTGTTATAACCAGGGTGATCCAAGTCATGGCATACTGCAGCAGTCATAAGAATCAAGATGTCAATTTGGGAAAATTTCTCCTGCAAAGCACAAACCGTTAATGTAGTCTTGCAATTTCAACTTCCTCTGTCCCCACAAATGAAATGAAGAAAAAAAAGTCCACATTTACATTTCAGGGAGATGCAAATATGAGCAAAATGAAATATGTTTCCATAGTTCAATTTAGTTCACTCAAGAAAGAGATTTTTGCCTTCCTTTCCAACAAAAATGACTGAGATATGCCTTTGTTGCATTAAATAACAGTAGCTCAGAGGACACAATTTGCCTCAAACTTGCTATTACTGCAGAAATTGTATGAAAGCATAGAGGTATTAATATAATCTCTTAAAAGTCATTTGACTATCTTGATTAGTTTATTTAGAACTGGAAGATATCTTAGCTGTCATTACATTTTGCATTAACTAAAGTTATAAAGACAGTGAGAAAAATTAAAGGTAACATTGCTACAGCATCTGAATAGGGAGAACTTTCACGCAAAATTGTTTTTCTTCATATTCCTGGTGGCAAGAAAGAGACTTAGGCCAGAAACTATGAGGTTTTTAACTACAGAAAAAAAAAAAGAATTTTTGACAAATAAAATTAATGTGCAACCACAGATTTTCAAGTCAAAGAAAAGAGATGCTGCCTTTTGTTTAGAAAAATGCACAAGTCCAATATGAATCTTGCATATGGTATGGCAAGCAATGCATTATTTGCACTAGATCACTCAGGGGCAATCAGAGATTTGAAAAAAAAAAGTGGAAATATTTTGTGTCACAGGAAAAACACAAGTCTATGGACCATAATTCAGTTGGCTTTTGTAAATTATTTATTCTATCTAAATGCCAAGAGGGCTTCTGCATACAAGTTGAGAAAATGCTTGAGTTGCAGGTAGCTCCGCAGCAGCCTCTGAAAGCCCAGGAGGTGCCTGGGGCTGAGAGAGGGTGGCTGAGTGCTCAGCTAAGGGTGAAAACCCAATACATAGCCCAACATGTGCCCTCCCTTTTCCAGGGACTGAAAAAGGGCAGGTACTGCAAAACTCATAATTAGCAAAGAAGTCAGTGACCTCTTTGGCAAGCCAGATGGCTTAGGTTTTGCAGTGTTCCGTAAAGGAGCATGTGCCCCACGTGCTGCTGTCTAGATGGGGGTCGTACCTGAAGGCTGCAGAGGGAGATCATGCTGTACATCATCTGGGTCACGCAGAAGCAGTGCCGGAAGTTATGGAAGGGGTTATTCCTGTAGTTGTCGTGAATACACAGCTGTCCAAACAGGGAAAGGAGCAGTCAGAGACAGGAGAGCTCTTTTTACATAGAACTGTGAATACATATACTTCCCAATGTCCCTGGGAGCAACATATGTCCATATAGGACTCCTGTGGAGCCCAGTATTTTTCTCTGCTAATACAAAGTCACAGCTTTCTGACACACTTTCTGGGGAAGGACAAGGGAAAACTGCCTTAACTTTCAAGAGTTTGTCAACAGCTATGCAGGGGTGTCCCCAAACTGCACTAGAAGGGACATATTTCCCAGTCAGTGCAGGGCTACTTATGTGAAGGCCATGACAGCACGCTGATTTTTCCAAAGTCCTAAGAATCAGTAAACTCTGAGACAGGTAATACTTGTAGCAGCTTTTCTCTAGTACAAGATAGCCATGGGTAAGCATCCCATTGCAGCCATAAACGCATCTCAGTCCTAAAATAGGACCCTGTGCTCTTATCCTGAATTTGTATTTCACACTGTGCAGCTGCTAAACAGCCACTTTGGGGTATGTAAAGAACACAAAGTACATCCTCATTCCCCTCACTCATGGAATGCAAATTGCAGCTTGGAAATCTTCAAGGCAGAAACGTAGTTGTTATCTCATTTGCAAATACTCAGCTGGTGCTTTGGGATGCGTCTCTTGGCAGACTGAAGATGTGAACACTTTTGCAGTAGGATACCTGTGTAGATTTTCTACCCTATGCAGCATGAGCAAGATTCAGCCATGCAGACACATGGGACTAACTTTCGTGTATTCTCATTCTCCACAGACCCTGGCCAAATACTCTCATTACAAATGAAAGCTAAAGTAGTCCTGGTGTCCTTGGTAGTCCTTGCTACTGGGTGAAGCTGGTACAGCACAGTTAGTTACTTTTATAACATACTACATGGCCTTTCATGTCTTTTCCTGCACGTCTCATTACAAATGAAAGCTAAAGTAGTTCTGGTGTGTCCTTGCTACTGGGTGAAGCTGGCACAGCACAGTTAGTTACATTTATAACATACTACATGGCCTTTCGTGTCTTTTCCTGCACATCAGCAGCACTGCTGGACCTCATCTGCTGAAGACCTGGTAGCCTAATGGGTCCTTACCCATATGTCTTAATTCCTGCATTTGAATTAAAGACACTGATAGCATTCTGCAATTCTTCTCTAGCTAAGGGGTTTGCTGAGAACATCCTCAAGACTGTTCAGAATCAGACTCTTTAACATGGCATGTGACTTTTAGAAATGCAAAGTTCTGGATGAAGGCATGGACACTCAGCATGGGCTTTCACCACTTATTAAATATTTGGGCTTCATTACAAAATCTGTTCAGATTCTTCTACAGCAAAAACTTCAAAATTACTTTAAATTATTTTAAAATGAGTAACTAATTCCCCTATATGGCTGACTGCCAGGCTCACAGGTGGTGGGTGGTATCTCCCAGCCCCTGCTTAGACACATTGCTCATGCAGAGGCATTGCACAGCACTGCTTGGGTGTAATGTATACACTCAGCATATATATTCTGTTCTAGGGGCATGGAGCATCCTGGGGTAATCTTGACTCACAGCACTGAAGGGCTGGAGTGAGGGGGCTGCATTAGTCATCCTCTTCTTTCTGCCATATTTCTGTAGCTGGGGGTGTGGGAGGATGAAAGAAAGTCTACGCAGGAGGCAGCTTTCTCACCCACTGAAGCTTGAGTCAAGGCCCATTGTCTGACTGGGAAAGTATCACAGCTTGAGGCAGACTCCTTGGGGCTTTTTAACTGCCTTTCCTTCTGTGATGCTAGTGTTGGAGGAAGGAATTCTCGCTATGTCTAAGATTTGTATAAAATACATAGGAAACTCCCCTCATTGTTCCAAAGGAGACTCTCAAATGCTAGCAGTAAAAAATGACTTGGAGAAACAAGCTAACGGGAAGCCACCTGCTGTAATGCTAGTGGGTGGGTATGTTGATGTGTGTTGACATATCACCTTGCTTCCCATGCTTGCAGGCTGTGAGACAGAAGGAGGAAATTTTCTGTTTGATATGCCCTGTGCTAGTCTTGATTGTACTGGGTTTCATCCTACCCCTTCTGTTCAGCTAGTTTCTAAGGTCAACAATATTAAGCTTTTCAATCGTCTCCTTCAGGGAGAGATTTCCCAGATCTTGTTCTTTTTTTTTTTTTATCTCCTTAAATGTAGTCATAGTATTTTTCTAAAATGACTTAACCAGTGGAACACATAAATTCCAGGTGAGCCTTATGCTTTGCATAGAGACATATTAATATTCATCCATTTTATCCCTTATTCCAATCTCTAATTAGCCTAATACCTCTCTATACCTCTAGCTTTGGGCTGCAGCAGTACACCAACTAGTGACAATCACTGATATAACTGCGCTTGTACTCAGGTACTTTCTGCTCTTGATGTACATATGGGTATGATGAATTCAGTGTTTTGCTTTCTAAACACCTTCTGACTGTGAGGAATTTGTTTAGACCTTTCTGGAAGTCTACATCAATCATATAAAACAGCTCCCTCTGCTCTGTGCATACTCTTCAGATAATTAAGCAAGATTAATAAAACATAATTCTTCTTGGAAATCATAAGAAACTTGTTCATATTATGAACTCCACGTCATGATGTTTTTAGTTATTGTTCCAATAAACTTGCCAGGTAGACATGTCAGCTCTGCTAATTATAATTGTTCGGGTTATTCCCAGATTCTTTTTATACAATGAGTAGTATATTTACCATTCTGCAGTCTTCTAGGAAACTGATGGGTTTTACTTAGGAAGCCAACATATACTTCAGCTTTTTAACAATTTCATTCTTACACTCCCCCTTGGGCCTGAAAACATATTGTTTTTTAAATGCACCAGTGTTCCTTCTTTAGTCACCCTAGTTTCTGATATGATATCATCTTTAGCAAGTCTGGCATCTCTGCTACATTTCCAACACTGAAGACCAAGCATAAAAATGTTTTAGCTTTTCAGCAATTTCTTTTCTTTCCTTTCCTTTCCTTCTGTGCTCTTTCAGAACATGATTTGTGAATTAACAACCCTAACAATTATTTTATTGACTGGCTTGCTGTCTCTATTTATATTAGGCAAAACCAGCAATCACCAGAAATGAACTGCTTGCAGTAACAGAAAGCTTATCAAACAAAGGCAGAACTGGTAAAAATTGTCATTTGTGACCACAAGAATGCAAACATTTGGAGCAGTACTTACACTCTAAGCATGTGTATAGATTGACTGCTTTCAGTGGGCTCACCCATGTGAGCAAAGCGAATTCCATGCCTTAGTATTTTATTGATTTCTGAATTCGAAAAACGGCAAATATCAGTAAGCTGAAATACTTACCAGCCACCTCTTTAATGTGATGGGATTGATGTTAAAGTCTTTAACCAGCCCGAGATCATGGTACATATGTTCTAAACAACTCAGCATCTGCGGGAAGGGATGGACAGGTTGTTCGCTTGGTAAATACCACTTGAGTTAACAGTACAGTGCAAAGTGAATTTTCTCCTTGCACGCCTCCTGTGATTGCAGAGTCCTTTTGCTAAGATGAAAGGCAGATGTTCAAAGATTGCATGATTAAAGACAGTGCAAAAGGGGAGGCAGAGAGGTTCTGAAAGGTTTTTGAAGTAGGGAGATCACTGCTGACCTCATAGGTTTTACACAGGGCTTTGAATCACACCTACTCGTTAGCAATCATGGTGCATCACAAATATCATAACAATTTCTTCCCAGGAAAAAGCTCTGTCTTTTTTTTTTCTAGTTCAGCTGGGATATGTATGGGCTTGTTTTAATGCTCAGTGAAATCAATGGGAATTTTCTCAATCAGGATCTACCTATATAGAAAGTGGCAGCAGAAAATAAGACATGCTTAAAGCAGTGTGTATTCTAGACATAAAATGTCCTTTTCCTTTTATGACTACTTGTCAGTTCTTAAATCAGGTATCCTAAATTTTCATTTGTTTAAAAAAAGACTTCAGTTTATTAGTACACAAAATTGCAGCATTTTTATGAACATCCACTGTCATAGCCTGGAAATGTGAATCCCGATGGCTGAAATACAAAGGCAGGATGTTTCTTTGAGACAAAGTCTGTGCTGAGGTATAAATGGAAACACAGATATTATGGCACTGCCACTCCTAGATAATCTTATAGGTTTGAAAATATTGCAAAAGCTCTATGGAGAGGAATTTGGGAGTCCAGGTTGACAACAAGTTAACCATGAGTCAGCAATGTGCCCTCGTGGCCAAGAAGGCCAATGGGATCCTGGCCTGCATCAGGAGGAGCATTGCCAGCAGGTCGAGGGAGGGAGGGGATCCTGCCCCTCTCCTCAGCTCTGGTGAGGCCGCACCTGAACTATTGGGTGCAGTTCTGGGCTCCCCAGGACAAGAGCGACGTGGAGCCTCTAGAGAGCATGCAGCGGAGAGCCGTGAGATGATTAAGGGACTGGAGCATCTATCTTATGAGGAAAGACTAAGTGAGCTGGGCCTGTTTAGCCTAGAAAAGAGAAGACTGGGATCTACTCAACATGCACAAATATCTGAGGGGAGAATGTGAAGAGAATGGGGCCTAACTCTACTTGATGGTGGCCAGTGACAGAACAAGGGGTAATGGGTACCAGTGGAAACACAGAAAATTCCATCTCCATGTGAGGAAGAACTTCTTTCCTGGGAGGGTGACAGAGCCCTGGAACAGGCTGCCCAGAGAGGTTGTGGAGTTTCCTTCTCTGGAGATCTTCAAAACCTGCCTGGATGCCACCCTGTGCCACGTGCTCTAGGTGTCCCTGCTGGAGCAGGGGGATTGGGCTAGATGATCTCTAGAGGTCCCTTCCAACCTCAAGCATTCTGTGTTATTCTGTGATTCTGTATTGATAAGCTGATGCACATAACCTGTGCATGTAACAGCTGTCACTGATAGAAAGTGCACTGATTTCTAGGATTTCAGGAGTGTACGTATCTGCATTCTTATTTGTGAGAACAAAATCTGCAGGTTAAATGTAGCCATTACATTAGCAGTTCTTATTCTGTAGACTGATCCAGGTGTTATAATATGATAAGTGTAATAACATATTATAACTCAACATATTATCAGTAAAACAAATGTAGCCTTGGAGATATTTTTAGTTAGGTTTCTATTATTTAAGATCTTATAAATTCTTCAGAAAGATGGTTTCATCTAATAAAATTTTATAAATACCCAGGGACTAAAGATAGTTTACGTGGTAACAAGGGGACTGGTTTTGAGTCATCTGAAAAGGAAGAAAAATACTTTCCCACAAGACTCGAGGGGCAATGTCATGAGCTGATCTGTGCTCAGATACAGTGTTTTTCATACAGATAAATTTGTCCCATTCCTTGCAAAAAGCTTTTTGAAACAATAAACCTGAGCTGCATCTACAAAGGCTGAGTTACACTCAGGAAATGCCAGTCTTCCTCCACTCATTGCCAAAAGGGCCCTAAGTGAGTCACTGGAGTGATTTGGAGCCTCAGAACTTTTGCCTTGGAGTTGGGTGAACACGAGGTGAATTTTCATTAAAAAATAGCTATAGCTTTCTTAGTCAACAGCAAAAGTTTAAATATGCTGTTTTAAGGCTTAAAATGAGTGAGCATTTGATGAAGATAATGCAAGTTTGCTGGCTAGCTCTGTTACTGACATACTGCAGCGCACTGCATTATTTCCTTGTTTACTGAGCACAAAGACAACAGTTCATTGCAGGGAAACATTGACAGAATTGAAATATTCTCTGCAAACATAAATCAGAACTAAAAGGATAGGGCAAACCCATACGGTGCTTGGTCACCAGGGTTTGTGTGATATCTCATTTTTGGGCAGTGCCTCGCCTTGTAAGGCATGCCTGATTTCCATACCATCTTGTTAGCAGCGTTCATGCCACTTTATAATGTTTCCTGACTCTCTGAATGAGTTACTTCTGAGTAATGAGTACTCTGAATGAGTTACTTTAGTAAAATACTATGCTTCAGCATGCAAGAATCCATGGAAAATGTGTTTTTCTTGGTTTTCCCCTATTCTTTCCTGCTGGTCAGAATAACAATGAGCCAACAGCATCATGGTCCACCTGGCAAGTTGTAATCCTGCCTTGCTTGAAAGGCCTGGCAGATGTTTAAAAGATGGGGCAAGCAATTTTTCCCGAGCAACTGCATGTCAGTGGTGCAGAGAAACGGGGCTGGAGAGGGAGCAGTAATTGCATAGCATTCATCTCAGCTAGGCATAGGCCACGTGAGGAAATCTTCACAAATGGGAGATAGAGCAGAGCACCATCAGAGAGTCCTTCTGCTATTCTACCAGCCAGATGAAAAATCTTAAATGAAATATGGTACTTCTGGAAGGGTTGGGTCTGGGATACTTTCCCTTGTCATGTTCATCTAGAAATACTCAACCAGATTGGCTGTATGTGTAGAATTTTATTGAAATGTGTAGAATTTTACTGAAAATTTAATGGTGCTGTTAGTGCCACCTAATACTTCCCTTAAGAAAAATTCAGCAGTAAAACCCTAATTTAGCCCTGTCCTCCCTTATGTTTTCCCTAGGTGAGTTTTACTCGGATCTGTTGAGTCTCATTTTACACCATGTTATAAACTGGCCATTGGAAATGCATCCTCCTTCTTTATGTTTCTGCAGAAGCACATTGGACCACCTAGAAGCTTCCATAATACAGATGATGAACAAGAATAATGACAATTCTAAGAAGCTGTGCATGCAGATTTCCAACCTCCTCATAAAGTGCTGCAGAAAAATCCTTGCATAAAAGAATATGACTCAATACATGTACCTCAGCCTGGATACATACAGCAGCAGGTAACTCCATTGATTTACATGCGGTTAGTAATCATTTGCTTAAAATTAAACATATACTTTCTTAGGGACATATTTGTTCAGATAAGATGGCAGGAGAGATCTCATGTGGCATCAGTGATAGTGCCCAGGTCTTTATTAATCATTACAAAGCAATGAGCAATGAAGAGATAAAAAAAATAAAGAGAAGAAGTCAAGGTTTTTGGTATCTGTAGGG